TTTTTCAAAATGCTATATATTTTTAAGTTATTTCCTCACTCCTTGCTCTAGGGATTACAATACATCTTAGCAAACCACAGTGTGCTTCATCTTTTTTTTCCAAAGAGACCTTTTATTTAAGGAATACAAACTTCATGCATTTCATAAGTACAACTTTAGGAATATAGTGATTCTTCCCACTATACCTGCCCTCCCACCCACACTCCCACTCCTCCACCTCCTCCCTCTCCCATTCCCAGTCCCATTCTCCACTTAAGATCCATTTTCAATTAACTTTATACACAGAAGACCAACTCTATACTGAGTAGAGTTCAACAATTTGCACACACACACACACACACACACAAAACTGTTCCTCAACAGTCGAGACAAGGGCTGATCAAAGTCATTGCATCTCAAAGTTAATTTCACTTTTTTTTTTGAGAAACTTAATTAACTTTAAAGAAATGTGCTTCATCTTAACACTAACTGGTAAAATGTAGAGACATTGTTCCAGGACAACTCTGTTCTCCACCCTTTGTATTGTTAGTACCATACAGATGCATTATAAATACAACAATGTGTTATAATTAGTGCTTTACACAATCCTATATATTTTATTTTGCAAAAGATTTTATTTATTTGAAAGTCAGAGATACAGAGAGAAGGAGAGAGAGAGATACCTTCTATCTGCTGGTTCACTCCCCAAATAGCCACGACAGCCAGGGATGGGTCAGGACAAAGCCAACAGCCAGGAGCTTCTTCCAGGTCTCCCACGTGGATGCAGGTGCCCAAGTGCTTGAACCATATTCTACTGCTTTCCCAGGTGCATTAGCAGGGAGTTGGATTGGAAATGGAGTAGCCAGGACTCAAACCCATGCCCGCATGGGATGCCATTGCTGCAGGTGGAGGCTTAACCTTCTATACCATATCATCAGCCCCAGTCCTATATATTTTAAAGAAGGTAACACAAAACCCACACATAACCCCCCAGTTCTGTCGTGTCAAGTTTAGCAAAACAAAGTGAGGCGATTCCATGGAGCTCCAGTGTTTTCAGGTCAGGAAGGCAAGGGCTGTGATCCAGGGAACTATGGGAAGGATGGGAGCTCTCCCATTGTGGTCCCTAACGTCCAGGGAACAGACCAGTGGGGAACAATATGGCGCCCTTCTTTGCCCTCTGACCTGGCTGCAGGGACATGGTAGGCACACACAGAATTTGCAGATGATATTAGAACTGTCTGTGTGGAAGAAAGATGTGTTGGCTCAGGAATGAAAAGAAGGCTTTGAGCTCAGGAGAGATTATTGCAAAGGAGGGGGCGTGCTGGAAGCCATGGATACCCACCCAGGACAGAATGTTCCCCAGCCCAGCGAGCTCTGTGCCCACTCAGGGCCTCTTTAGGGAGCAGCAGCATTCCCAGACAGTGACTGTTCCAACGCCAGCTCCCTCCCCACGCCTCGAGCAGAAGGACTGAGTATAGGACCTAAGTGGGTAATGCCAGCCCCGCAGGCCGACAGAGACAAATGGAACACTTAGCCTTCTCACAGAAAAGGAGTAGGAAGAGATACTCTATCTTTTCAATTTTGAAGTCAAAGGCTGAACTTGAAATTCAAAAATAAACAAACAAAAGCATATAGAAACAACAACAAAAAAGACATGAGGAAAATGTAGTATTATATTATGGGTACATGTCTGTATCTCAATTTCTACATAGATACAAATATAGGTATGGAGATATAAAAATGTCATTGGATATACTCTAGGCAGCAGAAAATTTTAATTGCTTTACCTTCTTTACCCAAAGCAGCTACAGAAAAGTTGACTCATAAGAGTTCATGGAAGAAAAATAAATGAAAAAGAAATGGATAGAGATTTAAAAAGTGAGAATACAGAGTAGATTTGATGGAGTTGCCACTAAGCTGGAAGCAACAAAGCAAAGCAAAAAAAAATATTTGATAAGTGAAAATGAGGGCTGATGTAAGGTCCTTGTATGAATGAAAGGTTTAAGAGCTTAGAAGATATTTAGGCTGGCGCCGCGGCTCAATAGGCTAATCCTCCACCTAGCGGCGCCAGCACACCAGGTTCTAGTCCCGGTCGGGGCACCGGATTCTGTCCCGGTTGCCCCTCTTCCAGGCCAGCTCTCTGCTGTGGCCTGGGAAGGCAGTGGAGGATGGCCCAAGTGCTTGGGCCCTGCACCCCATGGGAGACCAGGATAAGTACCTGGCTCCTGCTTTTGGATCAGTGTGGTGCACCGGCCACAACGCGCCGGCCATGGCGGCCATTGGAGGGTGAACCAACGGCAAAAGGAAGACCTTTCTCTCTGTCTCTCTCTCTCTCACTATCCACTCTGCCTGTCCAAAAAAAAAAAAAAAAAAAAAAAAAGAGCTAAGAAGAGCGATGTGGAGTGACAGATCTCACCTATAAATAATCAGCAGACTTGCAGAAATGAAAAGAATAGAAAGAGCCTTTTAAATCTACACTAGAAAACATAACAGCAATGTTCTTGAAGTGAGGTAGACATCTACAAAATAAAAGGAATCTGTGCAAGAACCTCCTCCTCCAGGCAGGATGGAAATGTGTGTAGGAAATCAAAGCACTCGCCCAAAACCAACCAGGAAAGTCAGATAAAAGGCAAAGCCATAATGTGAACATATAGAGAGCTGCGAAGGCAGACTTTAAGAGACATATCATGAAGGGAAGTGTACAAGTGGCCAGCAAGCTCATGAAGATGTGTTCAGTACATCATTAGGAGGGAAATGCAAATTAAAATCACCACGAGATGAGATACAGTCTCATATCTATGAAATGGAGAAGTGAAAAAGACCAGCAATACCAAATGTTCACCAACATGTGAAGCAGCTAGAATTCTCATCTGTTACTGTGGTGGCGGTGGTGGGGCTAATGTAAAATGTTACGGCCACTTTGGAAATCCTCCAGGCAGTTTCTCCTGAAGTTAAGTGCATGCTTATTTTATGACTCAACAATTTTACTTTTTGGTATTTACCCAAGAAAAATGAAAACGTGTGTATATACACACAAAAAGACTTGCACACGCATCTTTGCCGTAGTTTTATTGCTTCTAACAGTCTCAAACTGAAAGTAATGCAGGTGTCCATCAATATGAAAATGGACAAAACTAATGTAGTCTATCCTCACAAGAGAACCCACCCTGCAGGGATAAAGAGAGAGTTCTGATGCCTCCAAATATGGATGCGCCCCCAAAATCTTATGTTAAGCAAGGAAAATGGTCACAAAACATGTCCATTATTCCAATCGCAGTAAGTTCTGGAATAGACATGCGGTAAGTTCTGGAACAGATACAGTGAAAGAAGCTAGAACAGTGGCTGGCTGTGGTGGGAGGGGAAGAGGGTGGGCTCAGGTTGGGGCTGGCGGGCAAGGGGCTTGTGGGGTCTTTCTAGAGTGATGAAATGTTCTATGACTTAATAGTGCTGTGGGGTACATGGCTATAAGCACTTTGAGAAACCCATCAAACTTAGGATCAAGGCATTTCTCTCTGTAAATTTATTTCAATTTTAAAGATACTTTAAAGTTTCATTTCTTGTAGAATTGACAAAAATCTGAAAGTTTGACAATGTATTTTGTGATGGAGGCAGAGCAGTGTGTGCGCGCACACACACACACACATTCTCTCTCTCCCTCTCTCTCTCTCTCTCTCGCTCTCTCCCTCTCACCAGAGCTTATCCTGGTTATTTCTGCTTCTCCATCAGCGCTGCCCTGAGCTGAGGGTGCAGGACTGCGGCCCCTCCCAGCCTCTGCCTCCACCTCCACCTCTGCCTCTGAACTTGAAGCCCATGGATTCATTACTTTGTCAGAGTATGTGGAGCCTCTGCTTTGTCAGAGAAGAGGAAACGTTTTTTGAACGTACCTTTCTTGGAGACACTTACCCATCTTCTCGTAGCCATATTTACAAGCCTTCCAGCTGCCAAAATTCTTACAGTATACATCTAATGCTTTGGCAAAAATTAGCTCTATACCGATTCTTCCTGCTCTCCCCAGCTCCGTGCCCTCCACCTGTCTGGATCAGATGGCCGTCCTGTTTTGACAAAGCCAGTTAAAGCCAACATGGAGGAACACCTCTTCCTGGTCAGAATGCAACACACAAACATTGATGACTTGCCTTTTCCTTTCCCTTTTTGTTTATAGCTCAAGGAATTTTACATATGGCAAAATCATATAAAAACTCATCTTTTAAAAATACTCTATTTTCCTCTCTTCAAAAATGTGTCAAGTTGTCTCACAAAAGAATGTCACTTATGTCTTGCCTGAATGGGAAAATGATGCCCATAGCTGATTGCATGAAATCAGGACAGGCCATCCACTTGTCCAGATGGCCCCAAGTGTAACCTTGGCCTCCCTAAAACCCTTAGATAACTCTTTACTGCAATAACTTCTCAGGGTCAGGGCTTCTCTTTCTTTGACTCTGCTCTACCTCGTGTCCTTTTTAGACTTTGGACTGGCTGAGACTTTCAAGCAAAGGTGCCTACATTAGTGCAGCCCGTTAGTTGTGTTTCTTTCTCACCCCATTGCTAGACCTTCTCTGCTTCAAGCATTTCCCAGTGGTGAATCTCAGCGTTACTGCACATGGTCCCTGAGAGCAAAAGCAGACTTGGCTGGAGCTCAGGACCTCACGGTATCTAAGGGAGCAAAGAGGGGTAAAAAAAAAATTAGGGAAATGCCTGGAAACCAAATCAGTAGGTCTCAGGAATGAGATAGAAAGGGAGAGATTAGAATTGCCAGTGTTTCCTATTTCATGCCTCTTTGGACAATGAGAGTAGTTATGGAGGGACGCTTGTTTGTAAGACAGGAAAGATTGGGCTTTCTGCAGCTCCTCCTATGGAGAGATGCTTCACTCACACCCTTAGACTTCAACAAGTTCACAGAAAATGCATATCATGACAAACTACGCATGGTGCAAATGTTGGTTTTTTTTTTTTTTTTTTGGCACCAAAATCAAACTTACGACTTAATTCCATTTCCCATGAACTTTCTGAAGGATCCTTGTGTAGTTTAAGTTCCTGTGGGCATGTGATTAGTTCAGCCACCACTGATCATCTGGAATCACTCCTTGCAACTTGTACCTGATTTCACAAACTGAGACAGACACTTGGTTTTTGAGACAACACAGTGTTTAATCACCAGGATAACAGAAGTATCACAAAATATTGGAACAAGATGGCCCAGGGTGAGAGAAGCAAACTGTACCCGGAGTCTGGCTCACGGAGGTAAGGCTTCCCAGCCAGCGCTGTCTTCTTTTTAATCCAGGACAGATAGCTTGACACCTTCGTGTATACCCCAGGAATCTCCTTGTGGCCGCATTCCGCTCCCCAGCTGACAATGCCCAGCTGGTACCATACACTGTTATTGTTCTTTTTGTGGCAAATCAGAGGTCCCCCACTGTCACCCTAGGAGAGAAAAGTTGTTTGCAAGTGGAGGGGACAGTAGCAAGAACCTTCTTTAACTTACTCAGATATGGGCAGTTGGCACAGGGCAAAGCAAGCACCAAAGTTGGTGTGTTCTGATGGGCAGGCTTTTGAATTTGGTTCGGCTCTCCAGCTATGTGACTGTGCTCTGGGCCTGCTGGAAAAGGTGGCAAACAATTTGGTCAAAAACAATGTGATGAATGATGATTTGGTAGGAAATGAATCTTCCATCATCATCATCTCATCATGCACTAGTGTTTTGTTTTTAAAGATTTGTTTTATTTATTTGAAAGGCACAGTTACACACAGAGAGGGAGAGACAGAGAGAGGGACAGAAAGAGAGAGGGAGATATCTTCCATCTGCTGGTTCACTCCCCAAATGGCTTCAACAGCTGAGACCAGGCCAAGCCAAAGCCAGGGGCCAGGAACTTCATCTGGTCTGCTGCGTGGGTGCAGGGGCCCAAGCACGTGGGCCATCTTCGGCTGCTTTCCCGGTCCCATTAGCAGGGGGCTCGATCAGAAGTCGAGCATCCAGGACACAAACTGGTGCCCATGTGGGAGCCAACACTGCACACAGCTGCTTAACCCGCTGCACCACAACACCAGCTCCTGTGCACTGGTTGTGATGAACCGAAGGGCAATTTTCTAAGCCGATTTTTTCCCTTAAGCACTTTGTTATTTTTCAAAATTCTTCAAATATCCCTCCTGACTTCTCATCTCACATCCATTTTTAGCCAGTCCATTTTTCTCTTTCTGTACTGTTCCCAGTTGAATCTTATATCAAAGTGTTACTTTGTGGCTTAAAGAATTACATTTTAAATGACTGACAAATTCCAAAACATCATGAAAAATCACTGAATTAGCCAAAGTGTGTGGAGCAGACACAATTGGCATATCTCAAACCTTTGGGAATATTTTCAAAATTCTGTTGAAGAGTAATATATAATAAGTTTAAAAAATTGGAAAAATCAATATGAAAAAGAAATGAAGAATACCCATAATTATATAAATAAATACACTTACATATAAGCACGCACACGCACACATGACTGTGTACCCAAAGAATATTTTGGGAAGAATACACATCCATATAACTAACAGTGGGTTTCCCTTTGGGGAGGAAACTGGAGAACAATTGTAAGAGATAAATTTCATCTTCATTGTACACACATTGTACCACTTGAAATTTTTTTACCATGGATTCAAAGAAACAAGTGAAATCAACAACACTTCTAATTCCACTCTTGTGGAGGAAATTTCTATTAACATCTTCAAATAAAACTTTTCCATTTCTCTATGTGCAAATGTGCACACATCCTGGTTTTACAGAAATAGAATCAGGTCGTACATATTGTTTCACAGCTAACAAAGCTGTATTTTGGAAATATTATGTGACATACAAAAAGTTTTTTAAAAAAAGCCACCACCACTCGTGCTAAAAATCTAAATTCAAAACAAAACAAAACAAAAAGCCCTCAAAATAGAATAGGCTTATTTGATGTTTTAAAATCAAATTGTTATCATGAACACATTGCTATGTCCAACAACTTACTTCCAATCAAACTGTTCTGTACAAAATGCTTTGAAGTCATTGGAAAGTCAGTGATCTTCCTTTAAAATGAAGAATTCTAATGACTTCTCTGGAGAAGGGGAAGCAGTGTGAAACACGTCACAGGGGACAGCGATGGCCAACAGACCTTGGTCCAAACTCCAGTGTGAATATTTGGTTGTGTGAATTTTGAGCATTTTTCTCAAGTTATTTGAGGGCTCTGATTGTATGCAGATAACAACAGGATGGCTGTGTGAGTGAAAGGAAGTGACCAAGTCCAGAACCTGGTATCTAGCAGGAGTTTGCTCAGTGGGAGCCCCTATTATTTTTGTGGTTGTCGGATCAGGCCAATCTGGCATGGTCAGGTTGGGTGGCTTATTTTACCAGGACCCAAAAGTTTGGTGGAACCCCAGCGGCCAGAGTGCCGTTGGTAGGATTCTGGTCTCCTCAGCAGCCTCAGTTTCCCTGTATGAGGTAGGTCTGTGTCACAGACCTGATTCACAGCGCTCCCATGTGTGTGTGGTAACAGTGTGTATTCTACTGGGGACTGATAGGTGTAAAAGTGGTGATGAAAACAACAGCTGTAACATTCAGTGTTACCTTACTTACAGTACTTCATGTGTGTTCATTCTTGTCATTCTCACAGTGGCCCTAAAAGGTAGGAACTCTTAGTATTCTCATTCTAAAGATGAAGAAATTGGAAAAGTCCCAGGCACAGGAGGAAATCACTTGCCTAGATCACAAGAACAGTGAGTAGAGGAGCTGGGAAGGGGAGCCAGGGCACCTGATTTCAGGGCCTGCACCCCTCATCACTACCACTGCCTCCTTTTGGTTACAGAGTATCTGTCCTTGTAGGATCTTACAGAGCACCTGTACTGGGCTGAAAACCATCCTCCCCAAATCCATGTCCACTTTGAACCTCAGAATGTGACCAAATTTGAAAACAGAATTTTTGCAGATGTAATTAGTTAGATTAAGATGGGGTCATAATGGACTAGAAGGAGCTCTAATCCAAAGTCTGGTGTCTGTATAAGAAAACGGGGCGGGGGGCACACCCATAGGGGAGAAGGCCATGTGAATGTTGAAGCCGAGATTGGAGTGGGGCAGCTGCAAGCCATAAGTACCAAGGATTGTCAGCGACCTTCAGAAGCTATATGAGGCAAGGAAGCACCCTCCCTTAGAACCTTAAGAGGGAGTGTAGGCCTGATGACATCTCCAGAACCATGAGAGAATCATTTCTGTTGTTTCAGGTCACCTAGTTTGTAGTCACTTCTTATGGTAGACCTAAGAAACTAATACCACATCTAATCCCAAGGAGACAGAGGGGAGTGAAGTATTCTGGAGGTGTTGGCCAACCCTCTACAAGCACAGGACAAGTTCATTACCTGGCAGGAATCCTTTCCACCTTGAGAATTCCTGGCACACAGCATGTTCTTGGTGAACATAGGCAAAACAGAGAAGCACGTGTCCCAGTGCATTAGTTTGAGGTCAACTTTCTGTAGCTTTGAAGATGGAGCACCTATAGATTCTGACTCAAAGGAGAAGCAAAGGGAGAGAAAGCCATGAGCCCAAAGTGATCCCTTTAGGTTGAAGTCAAACATCTGCCCACGTGGGTGCTCAGACCAAGTGAGGAGGGAGTCGGAGGGGAGCCCACCCTCTCTGAAGCCAGAGCCCTGTCCTAGATCTGGGTCCTTGCTCAGTCTCAGCCAGAGTCCAGTTCTCACCACCCTGCTGAGGGTTCCGGTCTCTAGCCAGGATTCTGAAATGATGTATTGTCCAGCCCGGTAAGAATGCAAGGAGAGGCCTTGGCCAGTTACAGTCCGGGGTCTGTGACAGGTAAAGATAAGCTTGACTCCGGTCAGGGTAATTACAGCTCTCACTGCCAATTGAAGAGGTGAACCTGACACCTAGCGTATTCGTTCCCCAGGTGCGTATTACCGAATCCCCAAGGTCTAGGACTCCTGGGACAGAGAAGAAGTCCCATGAATATGTGTTGAGTGAAGTTTGAGGAACTCTTAAGTTAGGAAGGGAACCTCTTTTTGAAGCTCAGGGAAAGTTTCTGTGGGCAATTCCTAACAAGCTCCGAGCTTTGGGGTCACCCTGGATAAATGGTCAGCCATTTGGGGGCCTGCTTGGAAGAGTAGCACTGACTGGGATGTGTCTTCTCTATCTGTTGATTATGGGGTGAGACACATTTACAAAAAAGACCAAAGACCAAAGGTTTCACTTTGTGCATTGACTGGGAGGGGACAGCAAAGTGCATTGCAGGTTGACTGTGTAAGAAATTTTTATATTCAATTCATCCCCTTCTTCTTTGGCCTGGATCTGTGATTTTCAAATCCTTGTACAACAAAGGCATGGCAGGAGAGCAGAGCTGGCACCAGCAGTGGGAACAGAGCTGTCCTGGCTGACACCGGGGCCAGAACCCAGTCCATAGTGCCACCTCTTTGCCCATTAACATGTCCCTGAAAATTCCTCCAAGTCCCCCCACCCCAGGCTTGGACAATTTCTGCCAGGGTTATTTCTGAGGACCTCTTTAGGGTTCCTGGTTCACAATCTGGGCATATGGCTTCCTACAGCAGCCCAGGAAGGCCCAGAGAGTCTGGCTGCCCTCTGGACTGAGGACACGAAGTCCCCAGATCTGACAGATTCCCCAGGGCCAGCCAAGCCTCCAGAGCTGGCTTCCCATTCCACACATCAGCTAGATGCCACCCCACACTAGTTGGTAGAAACTCACTGGCACGGGTAACGCCCCATCCGGTCACCCAGCAGCCACTCCACTTCCGTATGTTAGTGACCTTTGAAAGGCAGATGGGTGTACTCTTGACATCCAACCTTAATGGGGATTTGAGCAAGAGCAACGCTATGTCATTATCCAAGATCCAGCTGTCAAAACCAGAATGCATAATTAGCTTGTCCACCTGCACCTTCTTCAAATTCGTGCTATTGAAGTCATCTGTGCCGTGTACGATTGACAAGTTGGATCTTATTTCAAAACAAAAGAAAGAGAAAAAAGATAGGTTTCAGAAGGGCCAAAGGTGAGCCCTAAGAGCAAATAATGCTAACAGTTTGAGGCTGTGATCACTAGCGGTGGGAGTGTGGAGGCATCTGGGGTCATGTACACACCTAACTCAGAGAGCCAAGGAAAGAGCCCCACCTGAGCACCAGGAGACGTGAATTCCGGTCCTGCCCCCTTGATAACCAGCTCTCAGCCCAGTGGTCTCCTACCTGGGTGAACTAACTTGCACATTTCATCAACCGTTGTCAGGACGTCACGCTATGCATAAATAACCAAGGGGTCTTGACCTTGACTCACAAGGACTGGACTGGTTATGGGACAAGCACCTGGGAAACATCTTTAAAATTGTGATTTGTGGACTTGGGCACAAAGCAGGAGCCTCTCTGGTTGATCAGGCTGGAGGCCTGCCCTTGGGTCCCGATTCCTTCGAGAACTCTGATTCCAGGGGCATAGTGAGCCAACTAAATTTCCAGGTGAGACATATGCTTAAGAAAGTACTTGCCAGACATTTGAACCAGGATCACATGGACTTAGCAATAAGCAAAATCCAAGGAATGTTTTTTTTTTCTGCAAGTTAGGAGACATACAACAATGTATAAAACACCCTAGGAGGAGAGGAGCTCACCTCCCATCTGTAAAGTAAAGTATTCAGCCACGCTGGCCTGTATTTAGAAATCTGGTATTTTATTTCATAGCTGACAAATGTAGGTGCAGTTTTCAGGAAAGGGAGCACTTAGGGGCAAATTCTGTACCACACTGGTTAAAAATTCTGTTTGAAATACTTACTTGTTTGCTCTGATGAAGCAATGAGATGCAGTTAGAATCCACCACTCACTGAGGATGGTGCCTCCACAGAGATAATACCCTTGGCTAAGAATACCCACCTGCCATGGAAAATCTGTAATGCTTGCAGGTTCCCCGCCTATGACTCCAGACATGTTTAGCTTCTCAGATTTGGCAATTATTCTGCGGCCACATATTGCTAAAAAAAAAAAAAAGGAAGAGGGAGGAAAAAGCCAGGGCCCAATAGTCACTGTTAGTTGGCTTGGAAGGAATTTCAGTAAAAGTTCTCCTCTCCCTGAACAGACAACAGTGGCTTAGCCAGGTTAACAGCATCCATCTGACAAATGTGATGTCCCCTCTATGACTGCAGAAGGCACCACCACTGTGGGGTCTGTGCCTGTGAGCAGCCATGGTGGCATCTTGGAAAGGTCCCCCCTCTGAGAGCCTGAGGGGAAGGACTCTCCACCACCAGCCCTGGGCTCACATCTTGCTGTTGTACCCGTCAGGAAACCAAGGTGAGAGCATTCATTTATTTGAAATTAGGCCACACCATCATATGAAAAACAGAGCCTCAGGATGGTGTTGGCATGAACCATGCAATCCTTCTCCTTGGCTCTGGACACATCTTCCTGGGCCTTTCCAAGAGGATATCTCTAGGACACCAGACATTGCACAGGCGAAGGGAAACTGGTCACCTCCCACCCCCACCCCGCCGGATTCCTCTCCTGCCTTTCCTACTGTCATCAGGGGACCAGCTTCCATCCACTTTTAATTCTAGGGGTCATCCTATCCATAACATGAGGGGGATAAGAATTTTGGCATTTCCTGTGTGAGGGGGTTATTTCGCCATCTTCTAATGTCTTTCTCTTGCTCCTTGAAAAATGAGAAATATAAGTACAATAAAAATCTAAAATGTGGAGCATTTACTATTTGCTGGGCACTGTTCTGTTTTATCTGATTTAATTCTCACACAAACCTCATGAGAAAACTGAAATTGTCATGGCCCCATTTTAAAGGAAAGATGACAGAGGCAAGTTTAAGGTTGGGGTGTCTGGCCAAGACACAATGGCAGAAATACACCTGAGCTGAGACTGGAGCCTAGGCAGTCTGGCTCCAGAGTCATTGGCAATGATACTCCAAATTTTACATAAGCTTCTAATATGAAGAGGCATTTCAGTTCCAACCATCTTCACATGACGCATCACAACCACCTACTTGTTCCATCATCACCTCTCACCATGGCTGTACAACCCTAACACTACAATACCACCAACTCACAATTCTGCCACCACACAACTTTATCCCTTACACACCTCGCTGCTGCACAAGCCGTCACAAACCTCACCACCACACAAGACCAGTAGCCCACAAACCATCACCACACAACCCATCACACAATCCTTCATGACACAAACCCACAACTACACGACCCCACACCACTAAACCTCGACACTGCATAAGCCCGTTATCACAAAAACAATCATCAGATACCCTAGCGTCACACAGCCCTACCAGTGCAGAACCCCCATCACAATACAAACCTACCAGGACACACTTTACCACCCAACCATATAACCTCATAACCCCACCACTACACCTCCATTCACATATTCACCATACAATCCTGCCACCACACATCACCCCATACCCCACGCACACCACCAGCACCACCACCACCACCAATCACAGCCCTGTCACCACTCACCTCTGCCCGTCAATTCCTCTTCCAGTATCACTGGCCACCTTTCAGCCCCCAGAAATGCCCTCCTCCTTCCTCGGTCAGGACCCTTGTTACGCATGCCTCTATCGGAAAGACACGCCTCTCCCTGATCCGGCTCACCCCTCTTCGCTTATATAATTCATGTGTTTCCTTTCCACCTTAGCTCAATTAGAAAGTCACTTTAGAAACGGGCCATCAAAGAAGGAGGTACCTTTCTCTGAAGGGAGGAGAGAACTTCCACTTTGACTATGACCTTGTCTAAATAAGATCGGAGTCGGCGAACACAAGAGGCTTCCATAGCCTTGGCAACTCATGACAAGAGCCTAGGGTGATTCTGACACCATAAACAAGAGTGTCAATTGTTAAGTCAACAACAGGAGTCACTGTGCACTTACTCCCCATGTAGGATCTCTGTCCTTAATGTGTTGTATAATGTAAATTAATGCTATAACTAGTACTCAAACAGTACTTTACACTTTGTGTTTCTGTGTGGGTGCAAACTGATGAAATCTTTACTTAATATATACTAAATTGATCTTCTGTATATAAAGATAATTGAAAATGAATCTTGATGTGAATGGAATGGGAGAGGGAGCGGGAGGTGGGAGGGTTGCGGGTGGGAGGAAAGTTATAGGGGGGGGAAGCCACTGTAATCCATAAACTGTACTTTGGAAATTTATATTCATTAAATAAAAGTTAAAAAAAAGAAAGTCACTTTAGAAATCTTCCTGGCCTTTCAAGATTCTACCAGGAACCCCCAGTATTACTTTGACATTAGATACTGTCTTCCCCCTGGGAACAATTATAGCAATTACTGATTAAACACTTGTGACACTGTTAGGTTAAAATCTCTTTGCCCGATCTCAAAGCATCACCCAGATTAGAAGCTGGCATATTGCAGGAACCCAGCATGTACTCATGGAGTAAAAGGATGGATGGATGGGTGATGGATAGGCAAAGAGACCCTAACATCAATGGTAAGAATTCCTTGACCAATCAATAACCTGTCTAAGTAATCAGGGAGTTGATGAACTTCAGTCAAAAGCATCTGCTCTTTGAGTTCCTGAATCAGGAAGCCTGGGGTGGGGGGAGAGTAAGTGGACTATAGTGGTCTCGTCTTATTACAAGATACAGAGTGAACAAGTAGCTGGTGCCCAGGAAAACCTGCCTCACGCTCGTGGCTGATGTCAAAAGAGACATGCTTTGGCTTTCCCGTTGGAAGATCACACAGTGTAAAGCACATACAACCTAATCACAAATGGTCTTGTCTTATTTTGCAGGGCCAACAATGGAACCTTGGAATTGAAATTTAGTGAAGCAGTGTTGGTCCCTGGGAGATGTTAAATATTTAATTAAAGTTATAATTTGTGAAAGTTTAAACAAAAAGTTCTGGTTGGATTCCCAATTAGAAAGCAGCATCATATTTGTCCCAGTTTTATTTTTGATACATGACACCTACCCCCTGCTGAGCATCCACTTGTCTTTATATCGTGTGTGAGAGACAGATATTTAATAATCCCAGCCAACCTCCAGCATGTATTTTATCATTCTCTTTTTACAAATGAAGAAACCATCTCTGAGAGGTCGTTTAACAACCTTGAGATCATTCAGCTCATAAGAGGCAGATTAGAGATTTGTCAGTCAAGTGTGTCTATTTCTGTTACGATCTGAACAAAATTTGGCTCCCTAAACTCATGCAGATATTTAAACCCTTAACGTCTTATGTTAATGGATTAATGGTTGGTGGATTAGGGTGAAGGCTTGTCTCAATAATGGTGTCTGGAAGTAAGGCTTTGGGAAATGATTGGATCAAATTATGTTGCTAGAGTGAGGCCCCAGGATCAAATCATAACGGAATTATTAAGGAGAGGCCACACAGAGGGAGGAAGAAGAGCGTGCACACCACGCGATCATTCCTCCACTGTCCTCCAGCCTCACCAGATGCCTGAACCAACGGGGCTGCCCATTCTTGGACTGTGAACCTCCCAAACTGCAAGCCAAGTGAAGCTTCCTCCCTAAGAATCTAACTAATGCAGAAAATTGGTACCAGGAGTGGCGCTGTTACTATTAACTATAGCTGAAGATGTAGAGCCTATGGAATTCGTTTACTGGATATAGTTGGAAGAGTTGGAGAAATGGGCTAGAGAATGTTTAGAATGATTTACGCAGAGCACTGTGGGTGGTATCTGATGGGGGTTCAGTAGTCTGTTGGCAATTTTTGCTGAAGGTTAGGAGGTGTCTGCAAGGTTTATGATATCAAACCCATGCTAGCTCTACTGGATGCCTTTCAAACTTAATGGATAAAAAGTCATCTTAAGTCTTGAAAAAAGTGCATAACAATGCATGCTGTGAAGCTGAAGAAGCATTGATGTAGGTAACAGAAGCTAGATAAAAATAATAATAATCTTGCTAGACCTGAAACTTGGGTCTGAAGCATCCATATCAAGCATGAAAAGCAATAGTCATTAAGAATTGAAACTCTACTTAGAAAACAGTGAGCCCAAAGCTTGAGACTGTGAAAGGAGCATTGCCTTGGAAGATCTGTGTAAGCAAATGCCAAACACAATGGTGGATGAAGGCACCTGACTGCTGAGGCCTCACGTCATAGACTGCAGCTCTCGAATGGTTGTCAGTACGGGGCCCCAGGGGGTAGGAACCAGCACACTGGGAAGCCAGGTCTTAAAAGAACATAAAAGGGAAGAAGACTCGGTGGGCCTTCAGATCCCTGTGGGATGTTCTTGAAGATGAAGGATCTGGCTTGTCCAGACCCTTTATCCGTGCGTGGAAACACGGGTTAGCAAGAAGAAACCCACAGAAGTGTAGAAATCATAGCAAGTTCTTATGTTCCACTTGGTGGGGAATGACAAAGAAAGAGACTGATATGGACCATCTGAGCTCTGTGGTTCTCAACTTTAGGGAATTCCCTGCGAGCCACAGGCATTGGTGCATTCTTTAATATCAAAATGAGCTTTGTGGAACTTCCCTGTAGTGAAACAGGTTATCTCTAGAATCTTTAGGAGGACGTTCAATAGAATCATCTTTGAAGTTCTTTCCAGTTCTAATACACTGTACTTTTATAGTTCAAAATGGTGAGAGGAAATATTTCTACTTAAATCACATTAATATAAAATATAATTATTTAAATTCTTGTATGTATATAGAAACATTTTAAATTTTAACTTCCTATTCCCTTTTTGAATTTTAATTTTTGATTAACCTGTAGCACTTGTTGATTTTGACTTTCAACATATGTACACAGTGGAAACGGATCAATCAGGTCACTAGCGTTTCCATTTCCTTATCTTTACTTTTGGAGCCTAGGAGCTCCTCTCCTCTTCAGTCTATCAGGAGCCAGAGGCTCTTTCTAGGTCCCTCTCATGTCTCGCTCTCTGATGGCTTCACTGTGAGCAGAAAACACTCAAAGTCCTTCCTGTGTCTTTACAAAGCCTGGCAAGACCTGGGCTCTGCCCACCCCACCCCACCCCCGAGCCCGTCTCTGTTCAGTGTCTCCTGCCCATTCACCTCGGCCATTGAGCTCATTCCCTATGCAGGGCCTTTGCACTCGCTGCCACTTCCACGTGCAAAGGTGTCGCCTCAGCAGCTAGCTCTAGCCAAGTCTTGTTGTCTCAGAAAGCACCTATGTGATCACCTCAGTGGGGGCCGGTGCTGTCGGCCACCCCAGACCTTCCGTCACACAGGCCCCTGGGGTCTACTCCACTCCACCCAACGGGAACCAACTTTCTCTACTCATGTACTTTTCCACTTCCTTGTTTAAGGAAGTACCCCCTGACTAGCTAGTGCAACTGCTGCTGAGGTCGGAGTAGAAACTGCAGGGGACATTTTCTGCTGTAAACCCAGCTCCTGAAACAGCGCCCAGCAGAGAGTTAACGGTTGTTGACCGTCATATGAACTGACCGTGAAACAAGGCTACCTCAATTCCCAAGACCCAGTTGATGAGCCCATACTAGAGATTACTACCATGTATGGTGTGAGGGTTTGCTGGAGACCAAGCGGGCTCCACGGAATACTTTAGGGTGTTTCCAAAGTGAAAGCTATAGGAAAACACCTTTGAGGTGCCTACACTGGCTTTCAAGCTGCCCAGCGTGGCTAATGGGCCTCCGTTCCCTGGCTGAGCAGCTGGTAAGCTCGCTCCAAGGATGTACTGGCCTTAGGCATTCACTCTGGAAATCTCTGCTACCTAGCACAGAGGCTGAATTCTCTCTCTTTCTCTCTCTCTCTCTCTCTCTCTCTCACACACACACACACACACACACACAACCAGGCTTCTCCAATGGTAACTTTGTCATGGGGAAGCATGGTTGGAATCTGGTCAGGGGCCACCTGCATCAAGTTCACCAAGTTCCCCAGGTCCCCCCGCACAGCTGCTGAACCAGCGTCCCTAGAAATGACGCTGGACACAAACTCCCCTGTTGATCCTCCTGCCCACAGAGGATTAATGCCCCTGGTGCGACACATCCACAAGAATCCCACAGACACCTACGTTCCAGGGAACCACGTGCCCAGGCCAGCTGCAGGGCCACCCACAGCAGAAGTATGGCTCTTCCATCTCGCCATCCTTTCATTGGCCCTGGTCTTTACATCAGTGGCAGAGAGGCTCCAGGGAGGGTAGAGGGATGAAGGGCAGGGCTTGCTCACAGGTTCTGCGAGCCCACAGTCCAGCCTCACTTCTGACATCACAATAGGACCCTGGGTGGAGCTGGCACCATCCTGGCAAAGCAGCCAGGTGACATCCCGGGTCCTCTAGGGTGTGGTGGAGCTGAGGTTGAGAGGTGAAGCAGGGGCAGACCCTCGGCTGGTTCTGCTCCTACAAGTGGCTCAGGTGCGTGAATGTGTCAGGACGAAAGAGCAGAAGGCTCTCCCCGGGAGTAGCCTCAGTTAAGGGGGAGGAAGCCGAGGGCTGATCAGCATGGGTCAGGTGACACTGCAGGGAGTATGACAGGGATGCACACTGGAGAAAGCTCCCCTCGTCACCCTACAGGAGTCACTCAGAGCCTCCGATGGCTGCTCTGTAGAGTGGGGGCAACAGCACATCAGGACATTGATGAGAGGATCATGAGTGAATGTGGGCTGGCGTCACGGCTCACTAGGCTAATCCTCCACCTTGCGGCGCCGGCACACCAGGTTCTAGTCCTGGTCGGGGCACCGGATTCTGTCCCGGTTGCCCCTCTTCCAGGCCAGCTCTCCGCTGTGGCCAGGGAGTGCAGTGGAGGATGGCCTAAGTCCTTGGGCCCTGCACCCCATGGGAGACCAGGAGAAGCACCTGGCTCCTGCCTTCGGATCAGCGTGGTGCGCTGCGGCCACTGGAGGGTGAGCCAACTGCAAAGGGAGGACTT